TGTGGCTGTGGCTGTGGCTGTGGCTGTGGCTGTGGCTGTGGCTGTGGCTGTGGCTGTGGCTGTGGCTGTGGCTGTGGCTGTGGCTGTGGCTGTGGCTGTGGCTGTGGCTGTGGCTGTGGCTGTGGCTGTGGCTGTGGCTGTGGGCGTGGGTGTGGGCGTGGGTGTAGGTGTGGTGTGGGGGTGTGAGTGTGGGGTGTGGGTGGGTGTGGGGTGTGGGTGCGTGTGGGTGTTGGGTGTGGGTGGGTGTGGAGCGTAGGTGTGGGTGTGGGAGGGTGCGAGTGTGGGTATTGGCGATCAACGAACCCACACTCACACCCACACCTACCCACCAACACCCCGCACCCACCCACCCACCCACATCCACACCCACCCATCCATAGAAGCAGTTTTTGAAGATTATGATGTCCAAGGAGGTCAATTTTCCGCCTAGAGAAACAAAGAGAAGACATGTACATGAATCAACTTTTTTTTTCTTGAATGATTCATGTGAAACAAACGACACTTTGTATTCATGTGAGAAAATCACAAGAATCACCAGCATGTTCTATCAAAACTTTCTCAACTGCTGAAATATTCATTCAATGGATGATTGATACATATTTCTTGTGTTCGAAGGAAAGTAATAGGAGAGAGAACCAGTGCAGTATAGTTGTTAAAATCATTTTGAAAATGACGTTATAGAGTGTAAAAAGCTGAGCAGGATGAGGTATTCAATTTCACTTTGTCTGGTCAGATGTTAAATGCAAGACTCACAATGCCATGAGTATCAGATCGAAAATCGTTCGAAGTACAATGTTAGCGATCTTTTTTCAAGAGTCAACAGTATATTTCTCTGTAGATGTAGTCAAGTACTGCTTACATCCTTTTTTCGGTTTCTTGTCATGATGGGGCAATAGAAAGCATTGAGAAGAATTATTGACAAACAATAAAAAACGAAAGCCGTAAAAATGGCTTCGTTTGCGAACTCAATTGCACTCTTTGTTCGCTTATAGTATAAGACGTGGATGCGTAAAAGTTACTGCGTCTCGGTGTTGCCAATCACTATTCTCACATAAAGAAGAAAAAAATCATCATGTCGTATGTAGATACTAATGTTTCAGACAGAAGCACAAATAAAGCCCGAATATTAGGCGGAAGGGATGACAGTTTTTGAGTCAAAGAGCATGTAGTTGAAACCCAGAGGTTGATAGTTTCAGGGAAAGAAATAAACGAAACGTTTAGACTAGAAATGACTTTTAATCCCTGTCAGAGAGCAGAAATAAATGAATTTTTCAGCCTTATGTGGTATCACTGTGTTCATCACAACTTTCCCACAACTTGTGTCTCTAATTTTGACCATTTATATAAGTCTGTTATTTCAGTTGTTTTCGTCTAATTTTGGTAATATGGATAATAGTCGAAGTGATTGCATATATAGCTCTCATCATTACCAAATTTGCTCTGCTAGACGCTTGGTCAAAGAAAGAAGGCTTCGGAAACCTGTGTCCAATCGATAAACATAAATTTATTACAAGTTATTTGTTGTGGAGTGCTCTTGTGGATCTTGGATGGATTGTTTTCTTCATTATTGGGTGCTGCAAACCAAACAAGTTTTGGACTTGTGATGTGACCGAAATAATTCAGGTTCGATCACCTGACGGGTATTGGCGTGACGTAAGCACTGTACAGAAAACTCGCTACGGTATGGTTTTCATATTATTATTTCTTTTGTTTTTCTTTTACGTATCTCGGTTTTTTTGTCGTGGAAGGCTTTGGTTGCATTTCGTTAATCATACTATTAACCAGTTTTGTACTCTGGTGTGAAGGAAACAATTGGATCTTGACAAAACTTCACAAGGTACAGTTTACCGATCCAAATGTTACTTCAACTTACTGTACATTGCCACAATATCGTGGTGCTGCGGCAGCTATGATTACTACCGATATCTGGGTTTGTTCATTGGTGCTTGTGATCATAATCGGTGGGCTTTATCACGTGTCAGTAAAACCTTTCAATGTGAATGCATTAGTTTGCAGAGAAAACTTCACTAATCTTATTGATATGATAGCATCAGAATTGAAATAAATCACTATTCTTATACCGAGCTATGTTTCAATTTTGTTTTGGAATGATAATTAAGAGAATCCTAGCTGTATCGTCATTTGTTTTGTATGCGCAATGGTGTCAGTTTCTTCAGCACTCCAAGAATATTCACAGAATGTTGCAGAAACGTTTCAGATTAGCCATAAGAAAAATTTAGTCTAATTGATTTTGAGGCTCCCATCAAAGATTTACTTCAATGCGAATGAAATATTTGAATGGAAGCTTAGTATAATTAATTTATTTAGTTTTTTCTCGTTGATTACATAGCTGACTCGAATTCTTTTATTTCTAACGCATAAATTAACCGAATGCAAGAGTTGTATAAACTATTCACATAATATGCGATGATCAATTATATCAACAGTTTCAAAACTAAGGATCGAAATGACGAAAACACTTGACTAGAACATTTAGGAAACGGTTCATTTTCCCAGGGGTGTGGGTGTGTGGGTGTGGATATGGGTGTGGGTGGGTGTGGGGTGTGGATGTGGATGTGAGTGTGGGTGTGTGGGTGTATGGGTATGGGTGCAGGTGTGGATGTGGGTGTGAGTGGGTGTGGATGTGGGTGTGAGTGAGTGTGGGTGTGGATGTAGGTGTCGGTGTGGGTGTGGGTGTGGGGTGTGGGTTGGTGTTGGTAGTAGTTCTGTCATTCACTAACGCTCAACCTACATCCACACCTCACACCCACAGCCCACACCCACATCCACACCCACACCCCACACCCACACCCGCACCCACACCCACACCCACATCCACACCCACACCCACACCCACACCCACACACCACACCCCACACCCTCAACACCCCAAATCAAATCTTCACGAACTAAAAGATTAAATTATATCTCTTGACTCTATCCTTTAAATTTTTTACCTCGCCAACCTCTGAAACCAATAATACTATTTTCATATTTAGTTGAATATTTATTTAATGTTGCTAAAGTATATGGATGATAATATTGATCATCATCACAAATCATAATTGCTTGTGATTTCGATTGAAATTCTTTAATAATTGGAAGAAACTTCATCGTTGGACCATAATCTTCTTCTTCCCATCGAATTTGTACTAATTTATCAAATAATTTCTCAGTAATTTTTGATGAATCCAAACGTTTTATATACGTTTTTAAATGTCTTAATGTGAGATTTTTTTGTCTGATAATTACAGGAGTAGATGATAAATAGATACGAATTTGTTTTGGTAATTGTGTTTGAGATAATAATGAATGAATCACAAAAGGAAGTTCATAATGAAATCGTTCAGGTGTACTTGTTAATGAAATGATTATATTTGATGAATGTAATTCAAAAGAATTTGATTGAAAAATAAAAATAGTATAATAAAGTGAAATAGAAAATATGAAAGTAAGAATCATAATCAAACGATCATTAAATTTTCATCGGCAACGTTTGAATGGTGATCGACAATTTAATAATGAATTGATTTTTTTCATGAAAAGAAAAAGATTGTGATATGTTAAATTTGATAAAGTTACTGTAACGTTTTGTCACCAATACAACCTGTGACAAATACGGTACAGAATTGGGATGAAAGAAAAAAATAACTATAGTAATTGTGAAGTCTACATATGAAAGTAAAACGAGAGGTGAAGAGAACGACAAAAAAACTTCAATAAATTGTGTTCGATAATGACAAAATGTATAGGCCATCAGTACAGTTTCATATTCTATTAAAAGTGAATTATATAATCACTCGTTATGAATGCATCTCATTGTCCTTATAAAATTTAATACTGTTTACATTGCATTGTACTAGACATGAATTCTCACCCTTTAACACTTACAATTAAAAATTGAACTAATTATTTTATTGTTCTACCTATCAACAGGTAACGCACTCATCCATTTTTGTCCTTTGCATTGTCATAACTTAACAACTTCAAGTGGCAAAGAACGGAGTTTTAAACTGCAGTAAGATACTTGACAAAATTTTCATTTCATCTGGTTGAATGGTGACAATCGTAGAACGATAAAACATCGCATTAGTGCACTCATCCAAAAGGACTTCTTTCATCAGAGAAATCTAAGGTAGCTCACATTTCTAAATTTTTTTCGCTCTAAGCAAAATGTTTTTATTTGTGTTCGAAGTCAAGACAACAGACATACGAACAGTTATCACCAAAAATATTCAATAGAAGGTGATACATTAATGTCAAACTATAGCTAGTATTTCTATTTTGTCAAATGATAAAAAATATTAAGAACCTTTTTCTTCATCATTTTGGCACGAAAAATACTTGATTTTGACCGGCAACCACTGTTCATTCTCGTCATTATTCAAAACAAACGATATTCATCGATAAAGAATGTACGAAAAACTATTTAAAAACAAGTTTGGTCGCTTTACGCTCGAGTAAATCTCTGCTCAACTTGGACAAACTGTGCTATGTCCATGAAATATATACAAAACCAAAGCTAAGTTGTTCACATAATACACAATATAGAGGAGAGCATGTTCAGTTGTCACAGATCATTCAAAATATCTACTAACAACACCGTCGATATCACTCCGAAAGCAATGGATTGAATGTCTAATGATATCTATCAAAGTCTAATTGATGCCAATACTGAAATATTTTTGTTTCAGTCAAACAGAGAACTTAAGAGTACTCCATGATATCACAAGTTTGTTCAATTGACAATGCAATTTTATTTATTTTGAAAATTAAGGTTCAAACAAAACAAAATCTTTTTATTTTGTATTACAATTCGTACAAAAAAAGAAGAAACAGTCCACAAGGTAATTAAGTTTTACTACACTACCATAAACATAGAATTTATTCATGGTAGTATCTTGATACCGTCAATAACTGATAAAGAATTGATGCCAAAAAAAGCTAGTAAACGATTTCTTCTAATTAGTATTTATTTTGTAAAAAATAACAAATTTTCTGATGGAAATGAGTTTAAATAACTGTTTACAAAACAGATAAATCCAATTAGTCATTTGTTATTCGAACTCAAAGATTTTTATTGAATAATAAAATCTCTTGTATATGTTTTTATCAACTTCTAATCCCTATGTCAATTTACTGCAACAAGAAAATATGTTTTGTATGCGTAGTTGAAATTTATCCTTCAGATTTGATAAAGTCTCCATAAGAACAAGAAAGAGTATAAAGGTTTTATATTTTCGAAGTGAAAGTTGATACTTGAGTAAATATGAAAAGTCTAATTTTGATTCATGTTTTGTTTAATGCTGCTGCAAATGCTCAATCATCCTGTGATCGAGTATCATTCGTCGATCGAAAAGGATGGAATGCACGAGACCCACCTTCAATAACAAATTTAACAGGAAAACCCAAGGGGGAAAAAACTCATTCGCGGGCATTCGAATGAATGGAATGGATGAGAATGGACGGGAATGGATGAGAATGGATGGGAATGGATGAGAATGGACGGGAATGGATGGGAATGGATGGGAATGGATGAGAATGGATAGGAATGGATAGGAATGGATGGGAATGGATCGAAATAGTCAGAGAAATTCAGAAGTAATTTCATGTAGTACAAAATTAGCTATATTAACTATTGAAATGTTAAGAGCATGTAACGTACTAAATATGTCCAAACATTTTGTATACGTAATAAATCTTTTTAACTTATTAAATAGCATTATTTACTCTAGAAATATTCGAACATGTGTGATATTCTACAAATATCATCATAAGTATTTACCCATATAATAATGAGATATTATGCTTTTTTTTCGTTACATCATAATGTGTACAGGCAGATAGTAAAAAAGATTTACTATGAACACGCTGAAAGAAAAAATGTCGAAGGCAAAAACGTCGAACAAAAAAAACGAAATAAAAAAAACGTCGATCATGTAACATATCGAAACTTCTAAGATGTCATTATTGGAGTAGCTGCCTAATTTGAGTTCGAATATAAAGGAAAATTTCGACGCACACCCCCTTTTTATTAGCTGAAGAAAAAGAAAAATTTTTCTTTTCGAAATCGAATTTATAATTCGAACCAGCCACCCATATAATTCTGGCAAAAAAAAATTTTTATTCGAATTCGAATTTATAATTCGAACGAAGCACCCATATAATGCTGGTAAAAAAAAAAATTTTATTCGAATTCGAATTTATAATTCGAACCAGCCGCCCATATAATTCTGGCAAAAAAAAAAATTTATTCATGGTACCCACAGCAGCTGCAATGATGTGTGCGTGAGTTTATGCGTGAGTCCTTCTTCTTGGAATACCTTTCGCGGCACCCACAACAGCTGCGCTGATGTGTACGTGAGTTTCTGTGTGAATCCTTCCTCTTGGAACTCCTTTCCCGGCACCCACAGCAGCTGTTATGATGTGTGCGTGAGTTTATGTGAGTCCTTCCTGCCAGATCACCTTTCGTGGCACCCACAGCAGGTGAGATGATGTCTGCGTGAGTATATGTGTGAATCCTTCCTCTCGCAACTCCTAGAAACTTGAAAGTTCAACCTTGAAACATAAAACTTGAAGCTTGAAACTCGAAACTTGAAAACTCAATTGAATTCAAGTTTCAAGTTTTACATATATGGCATTCCAGATGATACTTCTAGCATCCCGGAGGATGCCTCTACCATCCCAGATAATGTTTCTAGGATCTCCGATGATGCTCCTTGCATCTCAGGGGGTTCGTCTGGGGTTTTGAGACGATGTGTGCTATATTCCCGATGAATCTTCTGGCATCCCAGATGATGCATCCATAATTTGAGATAATGCTTCTATCAATGCACATGATGCTTCTAGCCTTTTACATGATGCTTCTCAGATGATGCTTGTTGCAACCCAAAGGATGCTTCTAGCGTCCCGGATGATCCTTCTAGGATCACACCTGGTGCTCCTAACATCTCAGATGATGGCTTCGGGGTTTCAGATGATGTGTTGAGCACGACAGATGATGCTTCTAGCACCCAGATGATCATTCTAGCATCTGGCATGATGCGCCCAGGATTCCAGATGATGTGTCCAGCGCCTCATTTGGTGTTTCCAGGATCTCAGATGAGAATAATATGCATGAGATTAAGTATTATAACTTAGAAAAACTGCTATTGTGCGGTTCTTTGCTATTTTCGCACGCGTATACCTTCGCATTTATAAATCATAATTTATATAAAATTTTATCTTTTGCTTTTTATGCCGTAGTTATATGGGTACTTCATCCAAATTACAAATTAGAATTCGAAAAAGAATTTATCTTTTTCTTTTTTTGCCACAATTATATGGGTGGCTCGTTCGAATTATAAATTCGAATTCGAATAAAAATTTATCTTTTTCTTTTTCTGCCGTAATAACATGGAAGCCTTTTTTTTTTATTTTCGAAGTGATATCGAGCAGTTGTAGCTCCATTTATATTCGAACTCGAATTAGGCACCTCATGGATCTAGTAGATAACCATGTCGATGATGAAGAAGAATGTATAGATGCAGAAAATGCCTGTACAACTTCGAAAAAAGATAATTACAATGGCATACGAATATATTCTACTATTTCTGATCAAGATAAAAATAAATTTTTCAAAATAAATATTAATGGAATCGACAAATTCATACATAAGCAAACAGCAGCTTGGTATTTAACAAAAAAAATCATTTATCATCTGATAGACGAGTACGTGTTCAACAAACGAATAAACAAAAAAATTAATAATTATCTTTTTTTTGTTCAATTTCGTTGGCTATTTGTCATAAGTAAAAAAATGCATTTTTTTATATTCAATCAAATGCTTCTGTTTTGTGACATTTAACATAATCTTTTTCGAAATAGAAGACAGACTTTTTTTGATAATATTTTATTAGAAATATTTAAAAAGTTTCTGAACGTATTCATCGATATTTTATTTATTTGAATTCAAAATATTACTTACACTTGAATGTAAAAAGTTACAATGCCATTACAAACTGAATATTATATGTTAATTCAATAAATCTTCTATTTCATTTTGAATATATAAATATTACTAAACAAGAACCACTACGAATTGCGATGATTAATATACATTATTTAAAAGGATCTAAAGTTTTTTATTTTACTAGTAATAATACGAAAAAAGTTTGAAATAGTTTATCGTTGACGAGTTTAATTATTAACAATCACTATTTCTTAGTACAGCATATTCTTATTTCAATATACTAAAAGGTAAATGGAAAAGTTTATCTGATGCACTGTATCTGTATGATTTGATTTTAACAGCATTTTTCGAACGATTATCTAAATACAAAATACATGGCCATACTACCGTGTAAGATAACTTACACATGATAAAAATGTAATTGATTAGATATGAAGAAATGATAGTCACTTGAATTAGCTGAAAGTGATCAGAAATGTTAGGGTGAGTTCTTCTCTCTCTTATATTAATTTCTGCAGTATATACAATTGTTTAGAACATTGCTGAATTTAAAGACTTATTCTCATAGTATTAAATGCAATCTGTTGTGAAATAGTCATCAATATAACATAAAATATTTTGACTTTGGTCAGTAGAAGATAGACAATCTAAGGAAAAAAATGCATTCTTATCATACAATTTCGACAATTTAAGAAAGCCAGAAATATATTTGAGAATCAAGGAATGAGTGGGAATGGAAGAGAATGGATGGGAATGGATGGGAATGGATGGGAATGGATGAGAATGGATGAGAATGGATGGGAATGGATGGGAATGGATGGGAATGGATGAGAATGGATGGGAATGGATGGGAATGGATGGGAATGGATGAGAATGGATGGGAATGGATGAGAATCGATGGGAATGGATGGAATGGATCCGAATGCCCGAATAGTTTTTTCCCCCTTGGGAAAACCTCTTTCATTTTATGTTATTCATCATACTTATCAACCTCCAAAGTAAATATTTTCTGAGTAAAATTATTTAACTAATATCATTATTGATAGTTGTTATGCTGATGATGAATGTATTCAACGAGTGCAAGCTATTCAAGATTTACATCAAAATGGTCAAGGATGGGTAGATATTGGTTATCATTTTCTAGTTGGTGAAAATGGAAAAGTTTATGAAGGAAAAGGATGGAATTGTCAAGCTGCTCATTCATCAGGATGGAATAATGATGCATATGGTACTTATTTTTATCTATTATTTGGATAAATCCGTTGGATTTCTACTACTTTGTGCAAAAAAGAGTATTTGGTGTTGATATTCCGAAAGAAAGTTTTTTTCAATTTCGACTATCTTGTTAGATGTATCATCATCGAAAATGACCTATGACCTGAATGAAAAAAATTCTCTATTCTTGTTACAGGCAGTTTTCGACGATGACTCACCAACTCTATATATTTTTCTATTTCTAATATTGATCTTTTCTTTTCAAAGTATTTGTATCATCGGTGATTTCAAAACATCATTTCCAAGTGAAAAAGCATTAGAAGCAACACGTTTATGGATTGATTGTGGTATTGAACGAGGTCATGTAACGAAAGCTTATTATATTATTAGTCATCGACAATTATAACGACCAGGTTATACAGAATGGTAACGTTCTTTTCACATGTTTTCTTTATTTTGATAAAGAACTTTTTAGTCGTGGTAATAGTACATTTACTGTTGTAAAAAGATGGTCTCGATTTTGTTCACTTCAAAATTTTGGAGCGAATTTAACTGGAAATGAAATCCAACTATCTATTGGTCGTAATTTCTGTGAAAAAGAATTAGAATTATCATCATCTTCAGCACATCTAATTATAACAATTATTTTATTTCATCTTTTATTCATTTATTCAATATAATAAAACATTTTTTGTTCATCACATTCAAGATTTCTATTTTCTACATATATACAAAAATCAACGATAAGAAATAAATGAGTTCAATAATTACAACCAAATATGTATTGAATTTGTACATGTATCGATATGTAATTTAAATTCATAAGAAATATTATGTCGTTGAAAGCATTCATACATATCTTGTGGACAAATTTTTTTCTCATTATTACCATCTTTCAGACCAATATGAAAATATTGAAGTGATTTCATATGATAGATAAATAGTGGAATACTTTTACTAAAATCTTCAAAATGAGCTAAAAAAGCTGAAAAAGATTTTAAATAACGAAACTTATAACATATATCTTGAACTGTTTCGCAAGATATAACATCATCAGCACCACTATAGAGTAAATTAAAATGAAGAAGACGTGCACTTAATAATGATAATAAATGTTCACATCCTGGTTGAAATAATTGTTTTATTAATATACAATGATTACTTGTTATGGTTAGTTTAGTTATATTCAGAAGACCTAAAAAACGAAAAGAATTTTATTAATATTCGAGTTAGTACTTGTAGAAAATTATTCTGCGATCATCGAAAGCATAAATCATAGAAGTTGGACGACTCAGATAATAGGTGGAAAATATTTGAGAGAAATTTCGATGTGTCACTTCGATACTACTAATTTCATCTCGATTTCTGACAATTTCTCACTTAAAGTATGCTCAAAGTGTGATTTAGTGAACAAAGTCACGCACATGAAAATGGAGCTATTCCAAATAAACTTACCTGGTATAAGTTTATGTAATGTTGCCATATTATGGAATTCATCATGTAATGTTAAATGTTTAGTATATTTAAGATTAATTGTTTTTTTGATATATTTTCCAAATAAAGTAGGTGATACATTTTCTTCAAATCGTATTGTTAGTATATCAATATTAGAAAAAAAAACGTGATGGTTCATCTAACTCAAATTCCATTTTTTCATCATTATAAATAGTTAAACGTAAATCATTGACATATTGGTAGGTTTTTTCAATAGTTGAGATATCTTTACTATTTTTTGAAGTTAAATCCGTATTAATTGGATTGTTCCATCTTTAAAAGAAATTCAAAAATAAGATGAGAAGAATAGTTTGTGAATAAAGAAAAAACAATGAAATTAAGAATGCAATATATGAAAATGTGCCTACGTACTGATTAGAAAAACTTTGATCGGGATACGGATCAGAATAAAAAATTAACTGATAATGCTTTCCATTTCGATAACAATCTGTTATGAATTTTATTTGACGATCAGTCCAAAATTGATTATTATCAAATGAAAATAATCGGGAACAAAGTGCGGTGAAATCTTGTAGGTTTAAACGCTTGAATTCACTGTAAATTTGGAATTTTTTTAACAATGGCCAATTTTTATTAATAATCATTTCCCATTTATCACTATCAACATAGCCAAAATCTATATAAGATAAACATTGTTTTCTTTAGAAATTAAGTGAAGATTCTATAAACATATTCAAGAACTTATAGAAAAGATTTATTCGCTTTCACCCTTAGTCAAAAGATGACTGTGTTTTCGCCCTTACCATTAGTCAGAGAAAACGCCAGGGTTACAGTCACTCTGGTACATGGGAATCAGTTCGGTTTATAAAACATATTAAACCAGCGAAAACCGGTTAGTTCAAAAATTTTTTTGGAACCGATAAAAACTGACTAGGATTATTTAGAAGTTTTTAATTGACACAAGGATTAGTTGCAAGCACATGTCTTTACATACAGAAAGGTCATACCAAGCTTTTTCAGACATATAAGTTATACAAAAAACGGAATATGTGACGTTACTGTAAAGAAAATCCAACATATTTAGATAATTGTTTAGCCAGTAAAAATCGGTCGGTTCGGTTACAATTTTTAGTGGTGTTCTCTATATGGATGTATGTTTTCGCCTTCGGTCATTATATACCCTAGTAGACTCCATCGAAACTATTGATACACTTTAATGGAAAATGAATTATTTCGAAATTTATTTACGTCATCTAGTGAAATATATTGAGTGTGAAGAAAATGCTAGAAAACAGTTGAACAGCATTTTTATTATTTGGGAATGGTTGCCTTTCTGTTTCAATTCATAAACGTTGCATTCATTATTCGGACTATGTTCTGACAAGATTGTCCCAATATCATGCTTTTGTACTATCCAGGTTCAAATGATTAGAGACTGTTCTATTTGTGTGTTATGGTTGATAAAATTCAGATTTCCGATACAGAGTTGAACAACTCAATTCAAAAACCGGCCAATTCCACTCTATTTAATTCAATTCATGACCTGACAAAAATTTTTCAGAATCCATTAGCTGAATCGAAATGAATAAATGACATTTTGCAAATATCTACGAATTGAATCTAACAAAATTTACAAATGTCTTTGAATGAAACCAGTTAAGCTATTTGTACAGTTATTATCATATAACTATTTTTGTTTTAGTTTTGAATTTTTTTCCTAACCTTCATCACTAACAAATGACAATGAAAATATTTGAATATTTTCAAAATACGGAAATAATCGTTGTAGATAATCAAATGGAATACTATGTGCACATATTTTTAAATATTTAATTAATAATATTGAATTTTCTTTCAAAGGATTTGATCCTAAAATAACATTACTTGACATTAAAAGTGTATTAATTGCTAATTTTTCAAGTGAACAAAAATGATTAAGAATATTGACAAAACATAAATAATCACATGAATTAATTACTAATTCTTTCATAGATGAATATGAATTATTTAAAATAAATTCTTCTTGAAATTCACTTAAATAACAATGAATTATTGATGATTCAGAATAAAAAATTTTTTGTACTGTATTTATATCAAATGAATTTATATCTTCTGATTGAATATCAAGTGTTTCTACATTACATAAATCATTAATTATTATATTAAATTCATTGGATGATGGTTTAATAAGGCGTAAAAATTTTAAATATTTAAAATCTTTAAATGAATATTTTTGAAGAAAATCTTTTATTTGATAAGGTGTTTGTTCATTTGATAATGTTAATGAATGAATTTCATTATAATACAATGAAATTACATGTAATATAGCAAATTGATACAGAAATAATGGAATATCAACAAGAGAAATCTTTAAAAGTGATGGACCATTCTTTTTTCGAATTGAATACATTTCCGTAAGTATTGAACGTATTCGTTTATTGTTTACATCAGAAAATGCATAAAACACTTCAACTGGTAATAAATATGAGGGAATGAGAAACCATAGTTCACCTGGTAAATCTTCTAATTTCATTTCTAGAAAAAAAAAATAAAGTAATAGATTCTTCCTTTCGAAGAAGTTTGTCTATTCATCGATTCAAAAGATAGGAATAAAGACAGAATTTATAATAAGTAACAATGAAGATAAACAATAGAACAAAGACTACAAAGATATGAATATCGATATAAACATCTAATATTTAAATCAGTATTTAGATTGGTGTATTTTTATTATGCAATCAATTAAATATGTAATAAACAAGGAAGAAACTTTTTTTTAAACTAAAAATGATGCAAATACAAATGAAACAGAGTTATAGAAATTGGCTAAATAGTAGTAACAATAGAGGACGGGTGTGGGTGTGGGTGTGGGTGTAGGTGGGTGTGGGTGTAGGTGGGTGTGGGTGTGGGTGTGGGTGTGGGTGAGTGTGGGGTGTGTGTGTGGGTTCTTTGATCGCCAATACACACATTCACACCCTCCCACACCCACACCCACACCCTCACCCACACCCACCCACATCCCATTCCATACCCACACCCACACTCTCTTTGTTATTATTTAAATCCACTTGACACTCGTACAATGTATTGACTAAAAACAAAAAAGAGAAAACAGTTTTATCGTATGAATTACCCAGTACTATGTTATTGGTTAAAATATTTTTGTTTATCGCAGGTATTGTCAATCGCTCCAAATCAGACACATTGAGATTGAAAGGCGATGCAACTGTTGGGTACGGTAGATATTTTTATTTATAAATGAATCATATATAAATCGTTGGTTGCTTTCCATTTTCCGACTACTTGAAAATAACTTTCAGGTATAAGTAAGATTTCATTTTTCTCTTTTAAAATAAGAATGACATTTTACAGATTTATCGTTATTACATTCAATAGTAAAAATAGTCCGTACACCATCATCGCCGATAAGTCTCTGTACCTCAACCAAATGTGATCTTCATTATAGTGGTCATATACATGTCCTCGAACACCACGCCGTATTGTTCCTTTCAATGATGAAAGTTTATACAATGCAGTTAAAAATAGTTTTATAAAAACAAACTATGATATGAGACTGCTTCTATCCTGAGAATATAACCGTTCATCAAGTAAAGTAAATATACTTGGATGAGGTTTTAGACATTGCATTCTATACAAATGAATAGCACCTGATTCATCAGAAGTTAAACCATCTGTTGGTTCACGAGAATTTCTTTCTGCTATTTCAACCATCGAATCAGCATTGTAAAGAAGTGATATAATTGGTACAATTGCTTCTGTTAATGATACTAATCGATATTTCTCATAACCTTCAATATGTGTTAATGCTTGATCAAGGTCTTTTGCTGCATCAAAAAAACGATCAAAAATTATACTCTCAGTCATTTATTAATTGACAAGAGAAATTCCTACAAAAAATAAAAATCTCTCAGCATTGTATATGATGATACGTATATTACTGTTCGAGCTCGTATGGTAACTTCTCTAAATACTTATGAAAAGGAAAGAAAGAAAAAAAAATCAAAAGACAATTTTTTTTTCGAAACGAATCTGGTTTTATTTCAATGTTATTTTACAGACTAACATTCGAAAATATTATTTTGCTGAACATGTTGACATTGATGAAAAACCAATCTCGTCAAACATCACGTTTCGTTATTACTAATATCTGCAATCGTGTAGGTTGATCTGATGATTAGTATTCTGCTGTTTTTGCTGTCTGATATTGTGTTGTACGTCAAGGGAACTGATGAATAATACTATGATGCGATATAAGAAATAAAAAAGAATATTGACTTTGTAAAACACGATATAAATCACACGTATCGTTGGCTTGGTGACTGTTAAGAATATAAAAGGAGCTTTTTTCGTGTGTGAAAGTAGTATATACAAAATGTTAATGTTATTATTCCTATTTTTACTTATCGTACACACTGGATATGCTCTTGAATGCATAGTCGACTGTTCTATTAGCAATCTATTTAAGAAAACATTTAGTATCCCTAATGGTCAATGTCAAAAACGTATCTCATCGTCCTCTTGTTCTGTTGATATGACGTTCCAATATGATCGACAATCCTATTCTGTGGAATTCAGAGACAGTAGTTTATCCTTTGATTATATTTACATTACATCTGGGCCGTACTTTTCTTATGAAGTACATTATGCGTGTTCAAAAAATACTGATTGTCCTGTTTTATACGCACAGAACAGAATCACTGAAATGATTGCTCGAAACTATGATGCCAGTCGTATCTACAGAGAACTTGCACAGCATATCGAAAATCCTTTACGAAACGGCCCAATCAACTGTTATGATTCGAAAAACAACGTTATTACATGTTCTTCAACCCAACTTTGCTCACTTAAATTTGACACAAAAAACAAGAAAATAACTTCACAAGGGTGTGACGAATACACATCTAATAAACCTAGAGTTTATGTTTTTGACGGCGATGTATCTCCATCTCTTACGATTCAATGTGATAAATTATATTGTAATAGTGATTTGACACTTGTTAAAGTTCGGAGTATTTTGTACGAAAATGATGTAACCAATGTTGATGGACGAATTATTGCTGCAGCATTAAAAGAAATAGCTTCTGCTTTTTTAGTGACATTGACTTTTATATTTACACTTATTTCTTATTTTTAAATAGAACATTACCACATTAGAAAATAAAAAGTTGTTCAAATAAATCCTCACCCGCATCTTCGAGATGATCACTTTAACTTTGACTGGAAGAATCTTGAAATTGTTATTTGATTCTGCAGATGATGATCTCGAGGGAAAGTTTTCAGTTGGATTCAGCTGAACATTGTTTATTGTCGTGTTCATTGGTGTAATGATCTCTGGTGAGATACTGGAGTTCGTTGTCTTATAATTAGATAACGATGAAGAGTTAGCGGCGAGGGTGTGGGTGTGGGATCTGTGATGTTCTCCTACCCATACTCACACCACATCCACACCCACACACCCACACCCACCCACACCCACCCACACCCACACCCACCCACACCCACACTCACACCCACACCCACACACCCACACCGCACACCCAGACCCACACCTATCCACCCACCATCACTTTGTTATGGACTAATGCATTAGCAAGATATCGGGTGCCTTCAGCACAGATTCCATTTACGCCAAGTTGCAGTGTCTTTAGAGTCTATAACAAATGAGAATAATTAACAGAAGATGAAGCAATAAACAGATCATTTCACATTATTTATTTCTAAGGGTTTGGCCTTCAGAACCGATACCATTGAATCCCATTTATAGTGTCGTAAGTAGAAATATTAGAAAGGTATGGTACTAATATATAAAGTATATATTTTACTGTACTATGTATGTGTCTATGTTGAAAAATAACAATGAATACTAGATATACAGATGAAAGTCTTATTCCATATTGTTATATTGCAATGCATTAAATAAATACTGAACACCTGTAGCATTAATCATGCTATGGCCAAGATTGAGTTCCACCAGCGTCTACAATAAATAATACGAATGAGTATGAGAAAAATAGATAGAAAACTTTTCTAACAATGTTATTCATGTGTAATACATTTACTAGATATTGTGTTCCTTGTGAGCAGATTTGTGTTTCCTAAAGATCTAATGGTACTAGTATCTATATTGCATGAGAAAAAACGAATGTAAGGTTAAAAAAAAACATAAAACTATTGCTTTACTCGATTGTTTCGTAATTCAGCATAAAGAGCATGCGCTCCTCCAGAACTGATAGAAGTATTCAAGAGATTTAATGATGTCAATGTGTGTATTTTAAATAGCAAAACATACGGCTGTGGGATGTTGGTGTCAGTGTGAGCTTGTGACTGAGTATGACGGTCGATCTTTTATCGAAAATCAGCGAAACCGATAGTCACACCCACAAACTTAGAAGGCGACCAAAAGATTGATGGAAATCAGAGATTACAGGTCGGTTTCGAATGAAGAAAATCTATATTCAATAGAGTGCACCGGAATCTGACGTCAATCATTAGGTATGAGATTATTTATTGTTTTTTCTGATTTGTGACATTCCGATACTCAATAATAATGGACGAGCATTGCCTAGAAACTCGAAAGTGACAATTCGATTAATTGTTTCATAAATTAGTGTCAGAGGCGTAAATGGGGGGCGTGGGGCATTACGCTCTCCGTGCTTTTGAAATTCTCTATGGCAACGCCCCCTGGTTTGAAAAATTGCTTATGTAATACGCCCCCCTCCCACAATACTTGAAAGTTTTCGTTATTTTCACTAGTAAAAAGGGCGAAAACAGACATGAAATAGACGCTTACTAACTCTTTGGCAAAAGTGCTGAATTAAATAAGTCTATATCAAACAAGATATAAAGTGAAAAAAAAATTTTCGCTTCGCAAAAAATGAGAACTTTACAATTACAACTGACTTAAGAAGTCTGATATATCATTTAAACTTTTTCTTATAGTACTTTTTACGCGTAAGAGTTTTATTTTTTAAATGGTCACGAGCGCGGCCGCCTTCGACGGCAAAAATTTTTAAACGAATATCAATACTTTCATTCAACGACCATTTAGTTTTTGGAACGCAACAACACTGAAATAGAATTTAGACCTGCCGACAAAGCAATTTCGCTTGCATAAATGGTATCAATTGCATAAGCCTAACCGTATTTTGAAGGCTTAAAACGTATTTCTAGGAAGTTTCTATTAATGCTACGTTCTATAAAGTATCATTTCCATAAATAGTCGCTGATGTAAACGCCTAGGGTATTAGACACATCTAGAGACGTTTTTGACTCCATACGATAACAGTTTTTTTCCTCAAAATGAAGGAAGGTAGAAAAACCCTAATTTTTTTCATATTATTAGATGTTTCTACGTTGAAAGTATTTTTTGTAACGCAATGAGCAAAAGAAGATTACAGTGCTGAAAAAGATTTAGAGGGATCTTTCAATCTGGATTACCTCGGAACAACCGTGTATCTCTTTTGTACTCATCCATTTTTCTGTCATTACATCTTTGTGTGCGTCTCTCTTCTTTTTAATCCATGCTTCTTTTCTGGTGTAGTGTTTCCCATGTAAAAAATTTGTATTAAGAATCAGGTTAAAAATTGATTATAATGGCACTATTATAACCTGATTTAAATCAGATTTTTCAGCTTTAAATGACAAATGTTATTTGATTTTGATTGTTTTGAAGCTATTATTATAATCATTGTTGGTAATCGATTAAAATAGATAGAAAAAATGAAAATCAAATAAAATTTGTCATTTAAAGCTGAAAAATCTGATTAAAATCAGGTTATAATAGTGCCATTATAATCGACTTTGAAGCTGATTCTCAATCCAAATTTTTTACATGGGTTCCTGAACTGTATTGTCTACGCAAAAAACACATAGCAAACAACTAGAAATCCATTTTTTTAGACACGCACTATCTCAGTCAAAAATTTTTTTAACCTCCCCACCCCCAAAAAAAATAATTCAAAGGACTATGCCCCCTGCCTTCAGTGGTGACTTACGCCCCTGATTAGTGTTCATTGAATCAGTGTATTTCATTGAAATTAGGATAGCATTTGAATAGTATGAGAGAGATTTGTTTTTATTTGCTTTTAGATTCAATTACCATTTTCATAGTAAAAAAATTTGTTGATAAAGACTTGAAATACAAATGAATTATTTTTTTGTCTTTGTAAATATCGTGGATGGTACTATGGAATTGCAATCTCAATCCAACAAATGCGTCTTCATCTTTTGAATCGATAATATTGGGTATCGTAATGCACTTTTTCTCTATTGTCTTGATCAATATCTACTGGAGAGAATGATAGCTGAGTCGTCAAGATTCAACTATATTATAACATTGCGACAACTCATTCCTCGTCTTGTTATCTTCATGCTATGTACTTAGTGTCCGATAAGATATTCTTGCACTGAGATATATGTCCATGCATCGCTTCTTCTGTTTTGTTTTCACCTTCACTTCCAGTAAGTATTTACTTATGTTCGTATTTTTTAGTCAGTCATTACACAGTAGATGCGTTTTACTTCTCTCGTGCTGCAAGTATTCTTGAAAGATTTTCTGCTTTTGTCCAGGTTAATTGCTCACACATTATAAGACAATTTAGTAAATTTGCTTTTGTCCGAGGTCATGTATAAGAACAAAACTGGACTTGAATGGGATACGGAAGAAGACTGTCATATATACATATGTCTTATTATGTTCAAAATTCTCTAGACAAAATATTTCAACTCATATAATTGATATTTTGCTGTTAGTATCATATGCAGACGCACATTGAAGTTAACAGTTGGTGAAGATCTCTTCCTGGTTAGTGTCAAAGGAAGTTTGAATGCTATCTACTTTGAACATTGTAATTGAAAGCATTCAA